GCCCGGCCCTCTGCTCGGTCCTGGCGCCGTTACTCGAACAGAGGGATGTGAGACCACGTTTAGCGAGTTCCAAAAGGCATCAGAGCGCCGTGCGTGTTGTGCGGGCACAGATGGGCAAGGGCTGTCACCTCTTGCGTTTTCTTGTGGCAGCAGACGCTGTCCTGGGGAGAGGCTACACCGAGAGTTAAACTGCTCCCCTGGAAGGGGAAGATGATAGAGGGGCTGGGAACAGCCACGTTTTCTGTGTGAAGCGTTTGAACTGGGCTGGGCCCAGAAGGAGAACGTGTTGGTGACAGACAGGACCGTGTGGATCCTTCTCTGCTTAGCTGCTCGATGGGGGGTCGGTCACGTTCTTCCCACAGACACTGAGGAGTTTGATTTTCCCCGAAAAGTCAGAGATGCTGGTTCCTGGGAGGGGTAGCAGATAAAGCAAATCTGTCCTGTGTGAGGGAGCAGCAGGGGGAGTCGTGCTGTAGTTAAGCAGACTGGGAAGGACAATGCTTCTAGGCTGAGCAGAGAGCAGTTTCCTTAGGCAGGGGTCAGCATTCCCGTTGGTAAGACCGGAGCGTTTGTTTCAGTCTGTGACCTGCACCCCGACGGGGTGTGGAGCCTTTGCAGCGTCTCCAAACGTGTTCTGGGAGGCAGGTGGATTCGGGGCCGGGGGGAGGACCTTACGTTTCCACAGGTACAAGTACCGTGGATTTATCTGGTGCCGAAAACCGCTGTGGTTGGCTCATGGGTGGGAAGTAACGCTCCCTGATCCCAGAGCCCGGCAGCCTGCCTCGGCGAGGCACGCGGAGCCCTGCGCTGCGTGCACGGGGTGGTGCTGGAGAGCAGGGAAGTGTGCGGGAGCCCTGCAGGGAAGGAAAACCCCGACCAAACTGCTGTATCCAGCCCCTGCCTGTGGCTGTAACGCCTCAACCTCCCTTCCTGGGTTTCCTCCTCACAGGTTTTTGTATGAGCCGAACAGCAAAGGCTACAGGTATTACCGGCAGAAACTGGAGGAGTTCCGTAAGGCCAAGAGCAGCACGGAGTGTGCCCCCTCACCTGCGGAGCCCAGTCTGCAAAGGAAGACCAGTCCCGAGGCGTCACCCTCACCATCGGGCTTGTCGCCTTTGCCCTTGCCTGTTCCCTCGCCTTTGCCCCTGCCCTTGCCCGTTCCCTCCACCTTGCCCTTGCCCGTTCCCTCGTCCGTCCCCTCACCTTTGCCCTTGCCCGTTCCCTCGTCCTTGCCCTCGCCTTCCCCGTCATCCTCTACGACCCCACCTGATCAGACGGCCACAACTGCGGCAACAACCCCCACGGCTACGGGCACCGCCAAAAAGAAGCGGAAGAGCAGATGGGGGCCCGAGGAGGAGAAGGTTGAATTGCCCCTCCCACAGCTTGTCCAGCAGCTGGATTCTCCCTCCCCTCTCTCAGGTCAGTGGGTCTGTATTGCGCCGAAGAGCTGGTTTTCCCGCGGAGTGCCTCTGCTGTGGCGCAGCTCGCTTTGCGGACAAGCCCGGCCGCTGTCACCTCCGTGGGTACCAGCCCCTCTCAGCGTGGTCAAGCAGCTGACCCTGCCCTGTGCAGAAACCCAGATAAACCCCATCATCTGGCTGACCCCGGGGGTTGGATCCCGTTTTCCAGCTCTCTCAGACCCTGCTGCGTGAGAGCTCGTTCCAGCTGCCGTGGCGGCGCTGTTTAGGGCTGTCTCGCTTCAGGAGGAGAGTCTGGCGGCAAACAAATCTCAGAGGCTGAACCGTGCTTATTCCCCGTGGCAGGATAAAATCCCAGGGCAGTGCTTCCAGCTCCCTAACCCATGAGGCTAAATGGGAATAGCTTTTCCCCCAGTGCCAGCAGGTGCCAGTGTGACTTCCAGTCCCAGTTTATACCCAGCCCGTTCGATTGCAGCCGGGGCTCGCAGCCCTCGGCCAGCGCAGAGGCTCCCGCTCCCGTTCCTTCACCTGCCAAGTTCGCTCTTGGGTGCTGGAGGAGCATTTTTCCAACCGAGGCGCTGCAAGGGAGCTCTCGGAGGTTGAGCTCCGGGTGGCCCCGTGTGTGTAGATGGGTGATGGGGCAGTGAGAGACGTGCACAAAACCCAGTCCCTCGAGGACAAGGGGAATGGAGAGACGTAGGATGGCATCTCGGCATCCTTCGCTCCGTTGGTGTGGTACGGGGAAGCGATGTGAAGAGATGACACGGGAGAAGGTGGCTGGTGTTGGCAAACCCAGGGAATTGATGGTACGAGGCTGGCGTCCCAGGAAAAGTACTAAGTGCCTGTCTCAAGAAGGGTCTTTTTCAAAAAGAGGAGCAGAACAGGCGAGGTGGGGCAGGTAGTAGAGAGCACGCTGTAATCTTACGAGCTGCAGGGTGAGGGCACAGAATTACCAGTGCGTGGTCTCCCTGTACAGCTCGGCTCCGGCAAGGCCCCGGGTCTGCCGTGCGGGGCGTTGGAGGGGAACTGTGCCGCCCGGTAGCAGCCGGTCACTGGGCTTGGCTGAGAGCAGAGGTAGCTGCGGGGTCGGTCGGTTCTGCGGGGGTCAGGCAGGGAGGGAGGGCTCCATCTCCAAACCCAGCGCTTGGCATGGCTCCTGCGCGCGCGTCTTGGCCGCACGTCTCGTACGTGCAGGACAAGGTACCAACCTGGCTGGCTTATCCCCTTGCCCTCGAATCGCTGCTCAGAGCAAGGCCGACATCCGATGCCAAAGTCTTTCCTGCTTTCCTACCCCTGGAGTAAACCCCTTGCCGGCAGCAGCGAAGCTTCGACAGCGAAGCTGGGCCGGCGCTGTCAAAACAAGCCTCAGATTCCGTCTTAATCCCTCCTGCTGCAGTGAGGGGCTGCAGGGGGATCCATGCGCTCGTTCCAGCACGCTTCCCGCTGGAGCCTTTCCCCCTCCTTCAGCACGGACAGGCGAGTCGTGCGCATGCCCCCGTTCTGCGGGAGAGAAGGGCGGCAAATGACACCCTGGGCATAACATCAGCGGCTGCTGCGCTCTTCCCCCTCCCCAGGGAAAAGGGATTGTCTCTTCCGTCGGTTCAGACCGGCCAATCCCTCTGTAGAATCCACATCTTCAGCCTGACCGGTGACAGAACCCCAGACTCCACCCTGGTCCTGGGGAAGGCCAGGGTGGCACGGTACGCCCGGGGGCCTAAATACCTCCGTCTTAGCCCTTTATCCTTGGCAGTTGCTTTGGGATGAGCGGAGGGCTGTTCTGATTCCTTCCCTGTCTGCTCCGTGTGTTAAACCGGCGTGGTGGAGAGGAGAAAGCCCTCCTGGGCAGAAGCCAGGCTCGGCGATGTGCTGACAGCTGAGCGCTTGCCTGCACGCGTGCCGCGGGACCCACGCGTCTGAAGGGCTGAGCGGGGTGGAGATGCTGCCGTGGTGAACCCTGCGCCAGTGGGAGCTACGGGCTGTCACACGCATGTCCCGGACCCTCGCCTGGGATCCGTTTGCGTCCGATGGCTTTGAATGGAATCTTCAGATTGTGGCGCAAAGGATCAGGCGCTCGCGTATTGGGGTTTCTCCTGCTGTCCTTCAAGGACGCTCACCTGTAAGGAGCTCCTCTTCGGGCACGTGGGAAGGGGCTGCATGCCGGGTAGCTCCTGCCAGTGCTGCAGCCAGCTGTGCCGTTAGCCCCCGGGGCAGAGCTGGTGGCGTTCAAGGCAACAAACCCGGTTTTTCCCAGGCCTGCTGAGCGCCAGACTGGGGAGCAACTCCTTCCCCTTGGCAGAGCGCTGGCCCGGTGCTGGGCCCGCGTGAGCATCTCGGACACGGCTGTTTGTATCAAATTCATTGGCTGATGTCACGTATGAACAGGCTTCTCTGGCTTCTGGTGTGGACTTGGGGTGGAGTTTCGCTTTTCTGTCGATGTGCGGTACTTGGGGCCGAGCCGACAGAAACATCTCCCGGAGCTCAGTTTCTGCAGTGACTTTCAGCCTCTCTCCGCATAAAATCCGCAAGGTCCCCGAGCAGCCAGACAGACCAGGGGTGGGTTTAGCATGAGAAGGACCAGCCCCGTGTGCTTCCTGGGAAGTAGGAGAGGATGCTGCAGTCCCACCGTTCTCCTGCGAGGGGGTGACAGGGGCTGG